CGCGATCTGAGTCTGGGTTTGAATCAATATAATAAACTCTTTTTACGGTAGGCGTGACAAGAACATCAGTGGGAGGTGAAATTCCATATGCTTGATCAAGAATGCGTTTCGACATCCTCTTTAGCACTTGAAATTCAGTATCAGTTTTCATTATCATGGCAGTCAAAGATTTAATCTTATCGTACAACTCAGTGAACGTCGTCTCCATGGTTCCAAAGGTAGTCGATATGGATCCAACAACTTTCTTAGTATCATGGCTCGACATGCTAAACAACAAATTTTGCCCGCGTAAACCAATAAATAACTAAGGACTTACATAATTGTAGGGAATTAAAGGAGCATCAAGTCATAAACAAACAAAAGTCAAAGCGGCTTAAGGAGCGAATAAAGATCATACATGAAAGGAAAAAGGTTGTAAGAAAGGAACATCACAAACGACCAAAAGAAAGAGCTATTTTAGTTGTTGCACTGTACCGAGATTTCTCCATTGCAATTAGTTTATCTCCCCGCCAACACAGAAGAAAAGCAATACTTTTGCTAAAGTCACCAGGGAAAACGGCAGGAGTTATTTTTTACAAGGTAAACTCTAGGCTTGGCGCCCCTATATATAGACCGCCAACCTAATTTATTAATACCATTACGTCCAACAAAAGAATTCCTCTATTGACACCTAAACTGATCCAACTAAGGAAAGCAAGCCTATTAACAAGGAGTACAGATTAAATCCCCACCAATGACAAGCCTATTTACAAGCATATTCCTCTATTGTGTTTGGCTCCACCACCGAACGAGTGAGGCCATTTCCACTGGCTATAAAGAACACCTGAAGAATGAGACTCAATTTATCAGTAGCCAACCTAGTAATATTTCTTTCTTGATCAAAAAAAATTTCTGCCATCACTATTTATGAACCGAACACAGACGTAATTACACATATCACATATGAATTGGAGAGAGAGAGAGAGAGAGAGAGAGAGAGAGAGAGAGAGAGAGGAAATGATAGACCTTCAAGATATCGAAGTCTTCTTCCATCATAACAACATCTGAATCAGAGAATGCACGAGAGGGGCCTCAGTTAAGCAACACCCAAACATATCCCTACTGTAGCAAGATAATGTGTACAAATTATATACAAGCTTTAATGGAAGGTTTTTGAATTCAAAGTACAAAAGAGAATTTGAAGACCTACCAACGATGCTCGGCAAACGCTTAACAACACCGAGTCTCTGAATTTATCATCAATCAATCGGCATATCTAATCAAGAACCTGAAAATTATATGCAAGTTCAGCTAAGAGAAGCAAGCAAGACAAACAAAGAGGAGGCTCCACTTAAGGAAATTTCCCAAGCGAGAAGATCCAACATCATCTATTGGGCCTGGTACAAAAGGCCTGCTTAGTTTAGTTTTATGTTTTAATTTTACAAGAACTCATTTTATAGTTATAAATATAACAGTGGAAGTATATTGAATCAAAATCCTTGTTCAGCATGAATGGTGAAGAATGCCCATGGTAATGACCAGGACGGTTGTTCGACCATCATACCATTACAAATATTTTTTTATTTCAGCTACACCTATAGAACGACGCCGTTCTCCAGGCCACTTTCGATTCAGAGACGACCACAAAACGATACCGTTTTTTCATGTATCGTCGTCTTCCCTAGCCCCCCAAATTCCCAATTATCCAGTTGCCGCCGTCACCACCGTAATCCGACAGCCGTCTCTCTTCATCGTCCAAACTTTCTCACTCCGTTACGATTATGGACTCCGACCAAGAGAATTCCCTTGACGAGACCCAATCCCCTCTCTCCATTTCAGCCTTAGTCATTGTTTACAGGACGTAAAGGTCATAGTCGTTCACCGTCAATTGACGGCAGCGTACGTCAGCGTACCTACCCATCGCTATCGGCGATCCGCACTTCGGCCCACCTCTCGAGTCTGCACTCTTCACTTCTTCGATCCTTCCTCATCCGCCTCTCGAGCACAAGATTCAATCCATCATGCCTCGAACAGATCACTCTCTTAATCCATAGAGGGATTAAACATCGATGGGAAGCGCAAAATCCAATTGCTTCAATCGATAGCCAGGATGAGAGGAGAGGGTTCGTCAGCCACTACAGACAGCAATTGGAAAGGGGGTTGCGTTGACATAAGTGGGAAAAGGAATAAATCACCAAACTAAAATTGTAAGTAAATATAACTTAATGGATTGGAGACATGATTAGAATAAAATTTGGTACTATAATTCGAAAATATGTTGAAAAGTTTGTTTAGGGGTTAAAGGGTGTGCATAAAAAAGTAATAGGACCAACTAATCATTTAAAAATTGTAAAAATTAAATAATTTAATTCCAATTAATAAACACCGTTAGATCAGATCTACGGTGTAGAAATCCTGTCGCATAGTATGTGTCTGACACATACGAGTGTGACCCATATAATTCTCTAACCCAAGCCACAAGATTCATGTAATCTAAAAACTAATAACCGACGGTTCTGATTCAGCGAACTATAATGAAGTGCAAAAACCAAGTGTGAACACAGGCGTACAGCGTACGACTGACGTACGCTAGCATTTGCCATATATATATATATATAAACTATATACACGCTCGAGATTAGGGGTTTTCTATAACGATTATTTATTTATTTATTTGTATATTTAATTATTAATTGCAAAGGTAGTTAGTTTTGTATTTGAGAATACCGATAGAGATAATGAAAGAATCGAGATTGAGATACCGAATTTTTTGGAATTGAAATTGAGATTGGTTTTAAGGCATAATTCAGGATTTCGGTATTTGATACCGGAATAGCGATATCGAACCGTTTCCACCACGTGCTGGTGGGTTTAGTTGCCCTCCTTACTTGGGTCTGGGTTCCTATGCTGAAGCCCAAAAGGTTAAGCATATTGCTTAAGTCATTCTATTGGTTCATAGTGGATTAGGTAGTTAATAAGGGGTTAGTAGTTAATATGTAGTTTAGGATAAATAAAGTTATTATGAAAATGTAATTGATATTAATTATTGATTATTCTCTTTCTCTCTACTCACATAACTTTCTCCATAATTTGCTCTCTCACTTCGTGACAACGTTTCGTAATGACATTATCAACGTTTATGAAATAAATCATTATTACTATACCTTATCATTATTCACGATTTCAATATAGATATCAATTCTTTACTATTATTACGAATTTGGGATCAATTGTTATCAACGTTTATGAGCTCCCAAAATGTTTTTATTAATTATTTATTAGACGTATTTGGTGATTATATTTAACATTGTCAATTTTTCATTAATTAGTACATGTCATGTGTACACATATACTTTTCATTATCAAATGTTTAATAATCGTTATTATCAAATTTTACATGAATTGTTAATAAAACACTTTATGAGATTATTAGTTTTGAACATTAGTAACATTTAATAAGAACACACTAAATCATTGATAATGACTATATTCAGTTGAAAATAAATATTTGTGTATTCAATAAAAACATAATTTTTGGTTTTAAATGCTTTCGTTATCAATAATTTTTTGTTACATTATTAATGGTTTGTTGCATCTCTATCAACCTAGAAGCTTATGTTTTCCAATTTGGACGTTTGGTTTATAAACTTCTTGATAAAGCGTACTATTTTTTTATTGTTGTTATCAACGTTTATGAAACAATGTCCAACAATTACACCACCAAATTTTATTGGTTCATTGTTATCAATCCAAAGTACTGTTATCAACTTTTTTGCAATGAATTTCAACGATATACAAAAATATTATCATCGTCTGCTAAATCATTTTTTGTTGTTTGTTAATGGGTTTAGGCTCATTGTTAAGAATCTAATGTAATGTTATCATTGTTGATGTATTGTAAACTGTTATTAATGTAATAAAGTATTTAAGGTTATAATCATTATAGCCGAGCATTATCAAATTTTTAGTGAATTATTAATAAAATATAGTTACATTATCTATGTTTAATATATCATTATATCATATGTTGTTAGTTAATGTATCATGATATCACGTAGTTGTTACAACTTACAATTTCACTTTCACATTAAAAACGTTAAGCAACTCCCACCAAAATGTTGTTAAAGTATATCATAACTAATAGTATCAAAATTATTAAAAATCGACCTAAAACAATTATAATTTTCAGCTTCAATGAAATTTTTGGAATGAGAACATCGCGTTTACGTTAAAAACGATAAGCAACTCTCATCAAAACGTTAACAACGTGAAAGTATATCATTACTAATAGTTTCAAAACGTTTAACAATTAACCTAAAATATTTGCAATTTTGCCATTGTACTGTTAATAGTGAACACTGTCGTCGTTTGATGTATCATGATATTAGTTGTTGTTTGTTTGTCGAAACGAGTAAGACGTCTTTAAGAGCCCATTACTAATAGTATCAATAATGATAATGTTGTGAATCAATGATATTGTGAATCATTAGTAAAGATGTTGTAATCAATGATTCATTCATAAACGTTGATGATGAAAATGTACAACGGTAACGATTGATTCAAAATTGTTAATAATATAATTGTAAGGAATTGATACTTATATTGAAATCGTTAATAATGATAAGATATAATAATAATGATTTATTTCATAAACGTTGATAATGTCATTGCAAAACGTTAATACTACATTGCAAGTTGCCACGAAATGAGAGAGAAGATTTTTAATTTTTAATTTCTATTTTAAAAAGAGAAAAAATTATTAAGTTTGAATTTATTAAATATTAAATATTATAATCTAATTAAATTAATTTCAAATTTCCTTTTATTTATAGTGGAGAGAGGGATATGGAGAAAGTTATAGGAGGAGAGAGAAAGAGAATAATAAATTATTTATATTAATTATATTTGCATAATAACTTTATTTATTCTCAACTATCTATTAATTTCAAATATTATATTCTCACCAAGATTGGCTTCTCACAGGGGTATATGCCATTCCCAAGTACCAATTTCAGCACCTTATGTGGGAGCATATCATTCGGACAAGCAACTCATGGGACCTTCCGTGGATCCTAACAGGCGACTTCAACGCATTTGGAAACCCAGAAGAGAAAAGGGGAACCTGCACCCCTAGAGACTTAAGACATTGCAGGAGGTTCATGTGCTGGGTGAATGAAGCCGGCCTTACTGATATGGGATTCTCGGGACCGCGCTATACCTGGTTTAGGGGTGATTCGGCTTCGACGCATAAAGCTAGCCGAATTGATAGGTCTTTGTGCAATAATTTATGGAATATATCCTTTCCAAACACGTTGACTCAGCACCTTCCAAAATTCCAGTCGGATCATCTCCCAGTTCTTTCTAAATATGTGATGATGACGCCTTCCAATTCAGTCTCGAGGCCGTTTCTTATCGAGGCGGCCTGGCTATTGCACCCGCAACTCAATGACTTCTTGCAAGCGAGCTGGAACACGGAAGCAGCTCTACCTACTTCTCTGGTCGAGTTGGGGGATAAGCTGCAGCAATGGAAGACGGACATTTTTGGTTCTACTAGTCGCAAGAAGAGGATGCTCATGGCCAGGTTGCAAGGGGTCACGAATAGGCTGGCAAATTCCTACACTCCAGGGCTTATGAAACTTCAAATCAAGCTGGAAAGAGAGCTGGATCAGGTTATAGCACAAGAAGAGTTATTCTGGTTCCAGAAAGCAAGTGAAAAATAGGTTAAATTTGGAGAATAGAACACCTCTTACTTTCACCAACAAGCCACTAGACGAAGGCGGAGAAACATAATTTTGGCTCTAAAAAATGGTAATGGGGATTGGATAGAAGGTCGGGAGGATTTAAAGGGTTTGGTGGCCAACTTCTACGGAAATCTGTACACTCAGGAGGTTGGGAATTATGAGGATTTGATGCCCAAGGGTTGTTTCCCTCGTCTCCAATAGTCAGAGCTCCTTCAACTGCTACACCCTTTCAACATACAAGATTTTTACAAGTCCATATTTGAATGAAGCCGCTTTCCGCTCCCGGACCAGATGGTTTTCAGGCTATTTTTTATCAGAAATTTTGGTCATTGGTCGGGAAAAAACTTACGGAGATGGCAGTGCATTTCTTTGAGTCTTGGAACATCCCAGAGGAGGTGTTCGACTCCACGATGGTGCTTATTCCGAAAATTGATCATCTGGAGACTCCTGCCCACTTCAGACCGATTAGTCTTAACAATGTGGCACTTAAGGCGATCACGAAGGCTATAGCTAATAGACTGAAGCCTCTAATGCCTAAGTTGGTTGCCCCGACCCAAAGTGGTTTCATTAAGGGTCGGCAAACCAATGACAACATTCTTCTTCTGCAGGAGACACTTCATTCTTTGAGAAACAAGAAGGGGAAAAAGGGAGGCATTGTGATTAAGATTGATCTCGAGAAAGCTTACGATCGTCTTAACTGGAGCTTTCTTCGAGATACACTTGGGGAGATTGGTCTCCCAAGTACGTGGATCAGCAGGATTATGAAAGTGTGGAGAAGAACCAAATGCGTATCAATTGGAATGGCGAGCTAACTGCGACTTTCAGGCCTTCTAGAGGAGTTAGACAGGGAGACCCCTTATCTCATTTTTTTTTGTTCTCTGCATGGAGAGATTAGCTCATCATATTGAACAGGCAGTAGATGAGAAGCGGTGGAAACCAATCGCTTTCGCGAAAAATGGTCCAAAGCTCTCTCATTTATTCTTTGCTGACGATTTGGTTTTATTTGCAGAAGCCGAAGGAGGACAGATTGATGTTATCCGCTCATGCTTAGAGGACTTCTGTGCTAGTTCGGGTCAAAGAGTGAATCTCAATAAGTCAGCCATGTTCATCTCACCCAATATCCAGCGAGACAAGGCCCAACGGTTGAGCTCAAGAGCGGGGATTACACTCACCAATGACTAGGGCAGATACTTGGGTTTAAAAGCCGCATCAATGGCAGGATCACCAACGGGAGATATCAAGAGCTAATCCTGAAGATTCAGCAAAAGCTTGCAACCTGGAAAGCCAAACATCTTTCTATGGCAGCTCGGATTACTCTGGTGAATTCTGTAACCTCATATATGTATATCTACCCTATGTTTTCCGAGCGATTACCTGATGTTGTTTGTGCTTCGCTTGACACGATAAATCGCCAATTTTTATGGGGAGAAGAGGATGGAAAAACCAATTACCACCCGATAGCATGGGATCAAATGACAAAGCCTAGGAAGCGGGGTGGAGTTGGGATCAGGCCCACTAAAATGGCAAATCAAGCTATGCTAGCCAAGGGTGCATGGAAACTAGTCAATGACGATCAGGCCCTGTGGGTCCGAGTGATGCGGAGCAAATATGGGGGGTCTAGACAAGGACTGCAAATCCTCAACAAAAGAAAGGGAGATTCTTTTGCCTGGAACAGTTTTGCTCAAACTGTTACTTTATTGCGCAAAGGAGCAGCTTATAATGTTAAGGATGGGAGAAAAACTAAATTCTGGAAGGATGTATGAGTTTTGCAAGGTCCGTTGATGGAAGTAGCAACTACGGCAATACCATCGGAGCTGGCAAACAAGATGGTTGTTGATTATTGGGGGACAAGCAGCGGGTGGAAAGTTCAAGAATTTCAGGCCTACCTTCCGGAGGAGATTATCGACAAAATCCAATCCATTATGCTGGACCCGATCGCCCGCGTCAAAGACAGCCTTTTTGGAAGCTTACAGCGAATGGAATCTTCACCACAAGCTCGGCCTACTTGGCGGAATCTCCGGAAACCACAGCCAGGACTATATAGAGTGGCGTAAGATCTGGAGACTCCGTTGTCCGGAGCGGGTTTGGTGGTTTGTCTGGTTGCCGGCTAAGGGGAGACTATCTACAAACAGTGTGCAAAAGTATAGACACTTGACAACTAATGACAAATGCTCTTTGTGTGCAGACTCTGTGGAGACCAATTTACATTGCCTTAGGGATTGCATCTCTATTAGGAAGATATGGCAGAAGGTGATCCCGGGACAGGAGCATCAAAGGTTCTTCTCACTCGATTATGTTCCTTGGCTGAGGACGAACCTGAATGGGCACATTAAAGGGACAGATCAAGAGACTTGGCCAAGCAGGTTTGCTCTGATGTGTTGGTATATCTGGAAATACAGAAACGAATACATTTTTTCAGGGGAAGAGGCTGGTAGAGTCCTCTTTTATTAACTATGTTGTTACGAAGGCGAAAGAGTGGCTTGACAGCTGGGAGAGAGCGACCAGCAGCCTGGGTACGAACCTTAAACCACTTCGAGAAGACACGTTGGTGGGATGAACAGCTCCACCAGGAGGCTGGAGGAAGATGAACACTGATGGAGCTGCACAGGGAGCTTCGGTCTTGGCAACAGCAGGTGGGGTGCTCCGAGACAGTGATGGAGACTGGATTATAGGCTTCTGTTGCAAGATTGGTACTGGTTCGGCTATTCTAGCAGAACTTTGGGGCATTCATCAGGGCTTGACAGTGGCCTGGAATCAAGGTACTCAATTTCTCATTCTGGAAACCGACTCGAAGCTTGCTATTGATCTCATCAAGAAAAGGGAAGACCCAGTTCATCCTCATTCGACCATTCTGATGGCCATTAGACGTTTGATTTCTCAGAATTGGGTGGTGCAGTTAGTTCACACGTATAGAAAGGGGAATAAAGTTGCAGACTGGCTCTCGAAGTACAGTCTCGTCTATCCCTTCGATACGTGCGAGTTAACGAATCCCCCACGAGAGCTTGAACATATTTTGCGAGAAGACATTATTGGGGTTAGCTTTCCCCGAAGGGTCTTACATAATACTGAGTAGCTGGTTATCTTGGTTGGAGTTTACAGTCGGGTAGCTGGCTTGGGGTCTTTCTGTTTGTTTTTTCGGATGTGCCTTTATGTGGTTTCCCTTCCCCCAGTCTGCTAATGTTAGTCAGGGACTTGTTCGCGGGGGTTTGACCTTGTAATCAGTTTCTGGCTTCTGCCTCCCTTTCTTCAAAAAAAAAAAAAAAAAAAAACTACTAACCCCTTATTAACTACCTAATCCACTATCAACCAATAGAATGACTTAAACAAAATGCTTAAACCTATAGGTTTAAGCACCGCCTACCCGACTTACTTGGAAACCACATCAAGTTTGAAAAAACTAAGAATATATCTTAGGTTCTCATCATCTCATATCTTGTAGACATAATCCTCATAGATACCATGTTCATCGGGATAAACGAGCAAGTTTTGTGCAACCATAATTTAGATGGTACATTCAATCAAATACAGACTTCATGCAGCAGCAGCAATTCATCGTGACATATGATCCTCAAACTGACAAATCAAGTTAAGATTTAAGAACAAGTTCATTAACTAGAGAGAGCAGCTTTCCCTTTTGTAATATACTCATGCATACCACCTCAATTACCAGTTATCAAGCATTGCAAAAGTAGTTTTGAATAGCTGGACAAAACCGGACACAGCGAGGCATTGACAAGTTGATGAAGAAATATAAGGGTCGTTTGGGTTAGAGTTTTCTGTAAGGGATTTTGGCGCAATCTCTCACAATGAAAGATTTTAACAAAATTATTCGTTTGGATAACCCTCCTTCCATCCGACAGCGATGACGGCAAGAGTGCAAGGATGGCGAGCTTCTTCCCGATCTTGTCGGCCTCCTGCCTCGACTCCATCTTCGATTTCAAGCTTCCGCCGCCGCCGATTGCAAGCTCTTCCGAAGCCCAACCGCCATCAATTTGAAGAAACCCAAACCCCTAATCTCCAATCGACGATGATGGGAGGGTAAGGAAAGAACATGAACAATGAGTGAGACGTTAGACAGAGGAAGTGGCCGCCGGGAGAGAGATAAAGCCCAGACCGTCCGCGACTGCGATGGGGAGGCAGGCGAAGTTGCCGTCGCCGTGTTATTTAATCGACTCTGGATTTTGGTGATTGAAGGACAGGTCCGCCCATGGGAGGAGATGAATCGTCCGGAAGGACAACTATGAAGAGCTGGCGGTGAATTTATATGGCCTGGAGCAGATGAATTGTTTGATCTCATACGCCGGGATTGTGAGACGAGGGAAGAGCTGGGTTCCCTCCCACAACCATTTAGCTTACCATCGGTCTCAGTTTCTCCATTTGCGAAGACGAGGCCGAAAGTCGAATAGCGAGGTCGCCGGCCTTTAGCAATGACGCCTGGTATCGAGTTCGCCGGCTACCTGCATGTTTTTTTCCAGTTTCACTGGTTCGATAAGGTCAGGAGAAATTTGTTCTTAATACAACTCAAAGCTGAAAATGCTCTTTTCACACTTACACTTGCGGTTGTAATTGGTAGATCAAAACTAGTGGGATTGTCGTTGTCGCTAGACAATTTTAGGGTTGTTGGGGGAAGATCGAATAGGCATAAGGAGAAAAGAGACCCGATTAGTTCTTTATTGCAATTGGAATTTCGTTTATTGTATAATAAATTAATTTTATGTCAATTTTGGACAAGTAATGAGTTGTGTTGTAGTGACAAAGTACTCTAATACTACCTATACGTGTTGTGCTCCATCACCAATATAAATATATATATATATATGGCGTATTTTTGTTCTACCGAAATTTACCCCTATCCTGGGACAAGGCTAAAAGGCCCTGCCTCCGCCACTGGGTGGAGGAGGAAGAAGACAAGGCTAAATTAGTCTTTGTAAAATTATTATCCAAATCCCTCCTAATTTCTCGATCCCTAACCAAACAAGTAAATTAGGTCAAATAACGCATTTAAATTTTTTAGGTTTTTAAACAAGAGATTTGGGCCACAATCTCTCATATTAAAATTCTTAATCCAAACGGCCCCATAAGAAAAGATTTCCGCTGCCGGGATTCGAACCCGGCCCCAGGGACCACTTTGTAGAAGTCACCGAGCTCGCACCCAGAATTCATCTTAATTTCTTAATGCTACAGCGGATTGGTGATACGCTTTCACTTTTCATCTCTTTTATAATATTTTAGCTGGCCCATACCTCCATTGAGATAACAATTTCTCTTGGAGTTGTTTTATTCAAACTGATTCATTCTTCATCCGTTTTCGCCTATATTTTATGTAATTTTATACAAGTTAATTTGGATTTTATTTAATTTATCTCATATTTTAGATATAATGATGTTGTAAACAAGTAAGAACCGCAATACCTCAAATAAAATAATCCAAATTTTTTAATAAAAAATGAATATTTATAAAAAAATTATTTTAAGTTACGGCTTGCCCAACTCACATCTCAGAATTAATTACTCGAGATATAGAATGAATGTGTAAACAAATTCACGTGCCAATCCCGCTATAAAAAATCACGTGCTAACTGTAAATGCTGCAATGCTTGAGTTGGTCTTATTGATCATTCTACTTATAGTACAAAGGAATAACAGAGAGTGCTAGTTTACAGGAGGGAAAGCAACGGTAGTGAGCTGAAGTTCAGGAACAGAATAGAGAGAAGTGGGGAATGGAGATGTGGGCTAACAACCCACTGCTGTATCCGTTATCACGCCCCCGCAAGTGAAGCCGAGGAAAGGCGGAACTTGTCACAGAACCGGAGGAAGGAGGGACGAGGTAGTGGTTTGGTGAGAACATCGGCGATTTGTTCTTGAGCTGGAAGATAGTGGACCCGTAGCTGTTTCTTATGCACCCGATCACGGACAAAGTGAAATTCGATCTCCATGTGCTTGGAACGGTGATGGAAGACCGGATTGTGGGCAAGGAAGGTGGCTCCCAGGTTGTCGCACCATAAAATTGGAGACTGGCGGAGAGATTGCCCAAGTTCAGTGAGGAGAGATTGTAGCCAGATGACCTCAGATGCAACGGTGGCAAGCGCCCGGTATTCACACTCCGTGGATGATCGGGCAACGGATTGCTGTTTGCGAGTGGACCAGGAGATGAGGTTGGAGCCGTAGAACACTGCAAACCCTGTGATGGATTTGCGATCCTGTGGGCAGGACGCCCAAGATGCATCGGAGTAGCCGTGTATGTTGGAGGAGGAGGAGTGGCTGATGCATAGACCTTGATCGAGGGTGCCTCGGAGGTAGCATAGAATACGCTTGACCGCAGCCCAGTTGGTGTCGGACGGATCATGTTGATATTGAGAGACTTGATTGACGGCGAAGGAGATGTCCGAAGTTGAGAAGAGCCCGAGCAAGACATTGAAACCAAGTGCGGGGGGCCTGGCGGAGGCCGTAGATGGACTTCCTGAGGCGGCAGACATGGTCTGGGTAGTCGGGATCGATGAACCCAGTTGGTTGGGCCATGTAGACTTCGTCGGTCAGATCGCCGTGGAGAAATGCGTTGGAGATGTCCAGTTGGTGAAGAGGCCACCCATTGGTGACCGCAATGCCCAGTATCAGCCGGAGAGTGGCCGGTTTCAGTACCGGACTGTACGTATGTGTAAAATCTCTGCCCTGTACCTGCTGAAAACCTCGAGCGACAAGACGCGCTTTGCGCCGTTCAAGCGTGCCATCGGGATTGAGTTTGTTGCGCCAGATCCATTTGTTGGTGATGAGGTTGCAATTCGGAGGTCTGGGTACAAGATCCCAGGTCTTGTTGCGGAGAAGAGCATCCCGCTCTTGCCGCATGGCGGCATTCCAGAGGGGGTCGCGGAGAGCCTAGGCGACAGTGGTGGGTTCGTCCGCAATGGTGGCAGCAAAGGTCTTCGGTTTTAGGTGTCCTGTTTTGGCTCGGGTGACGATGGGGCTGCGAGGATTTTGTGGCAGAGGACGGGGGGAAGTGGTGAAGCGCGGTCGAGAGGGAATAGGTATGGGTGGTGGTAATTTTGTGGTGGGAGATGGAGGAACTGGAGCAGAGGCGGAGGGGGTAGAGGGTTGCGATGGTGGCGCGGGCGGGTTTGGTGGATCGGGGATCGCAGTGGGCTGGGTGGAAGGCAGGGGAACGTTGGGCCGAGGGCTGATGGGGGGAAAGGATGGGGTTGGGCCGGGTGAGGCAGGGGGTGGAGGAACGGGCTGCTGGATTGGGTTTGTGGGCCGAGGCCCAGATAATGGAATAGGCAGAGGAGGGTTGGTTTGCGGATGGGGAAGGTGTATGAGTGGGGTGAGAGTAGGGAGACTAGTGGAGGGGATATCTTGTGGTGGGAGTTGCGTTTGGCGAAAGGGAAAAACATCTTCGGCAAAAAGTACATGACGACTAACATAGATTCGACCAGTAGGAATATGTAGGCAACGGTATCCTTTGTGAAGTTTGCTATAGCCAAGAAAGGCACAAGGGAGAGAACGAGGAGCGAGCTTGTGAGGAGCGTAAGGGCGGAGCCAAGGGTAGCAGAGACAGCCAAATACCCGTAAGCGATTCATGTCAGGAGAGCGTTGGAAGAGTACGGAGAATGGGGTGTTATTGTGAAGAAGAGGAGTGGGGGTGCGATTGATGAGATAGCAGGATGTGTCAAAGGCCAAAGGCCAATATTTTTGAGGAATATTAGCATGATGCAGCAGAGCAAGACCATTATCAACAATGTGACGGTGCTTACGTTCAGCACATCCGTTTTGTTCTGGTGTATACGGACAGGAAGAGCGATGAGCAATGCCATGAGAAGAGAGGTAGGTAGTGAGTGCTTGGTATTCGCCTCCCCAATCGGATTGGAAAGTTTTGATAGGAAGGCCGAAAAATTTCTCTACAAGCTGACGAAATTGAATGAAGACACTGAGTAATTGGGATTTGTATTGAACAAAGTAGATCCACGTAAATTTGCTATAGTGGTCATAGAAGAGAATGTAATAAGATTGGGAATCATAGGAAAGAATGGGTGCGGGACCCCAGACGTCACTACAAACAAGTTCCAATGGAGCGGTAGCGTGAAATGAAGAACGAGGAAATGGTAATTTATGACTCTTACTAATCGAACAACCATGACACAGAGAGGGCGAACTAGGCGCAAACTTTATTTGATTGGAGTGAAGAAAATGTTTGACAGCACGCAAATTGGCGTGACCCAACCGTTGATGCCAAATGTCAAGAGAAGCGAGATAGGATTGAGGAGCAATGCACCGAGCGATCTCCAGGGGAAGAGAGTAAAGACCGTTGATGGCAAAGCCGCGATGGAGTTCATGGTTGGTGCGGCGATCCTTGATGACAAAGAAATTATCAACAAATTCAATAGAAATTGGATTAGTACGAGTAAGGGAGCTAATTGAAAGAAGATTATAAGGAGCATTCTTCACGCAAAGAATATTATTGAGAGAGATAGACTGATCAGAAAGAGAAGTGCGAGAAGAACCAGAGTGAGAGATGGGAAGGGTTTTACCATTGCCAAACATAACGTGATCGGTGCCATTGTACTCGGAATGATGGGCGAGATTATCTAAATCGGAGGTGAGATGGTAATTGGTGCCGGAGTCTAAAATCCATTGCTGAGGAGGAGAGGGCTGGGCGGATGAGTGGGCTAGATGAGCTGTTGGGCCTGGGGAAGGGTATTGTGGGCCTGGGGAAGGATATTGTGGGCTGGGACAGGAGGCCCGAAGGTGGCCTTTGCCACCACAATTGTAACACACGAGAGGGCCGGGCCGAACCGGCATGTGGGCCGGACGGTGCTGCTGAGACGGGCTGGGGCCCAGGACACCCGCAGAAGACGAGGAGATTTGGGAGAAGCGAGGCACACCGCCGCCGCGCGTGTATCGACCGCGAGAGCGGCCACCGCCACGCCCCCGAGCAGAAAGGAACGCCGAGGGTGACGCCGACGGGGACTGGTAGCGACGAAGCTGGAGCTCTTCACTGATGAGCAGAGAATGAAGATCTTCAAAGGAGATTGGTTCATGACGAGCTTCAATGTGGCGGGTGAAGGGGCGATATTCTTCGCCGAGGCCGTCCATGATAGCCGTGATGAATTCGTCATTGTTAACTGGACCGCCGAGAGCCGCTAGCTGATCCGCAGTCTTCTTGGCGTCTTGAAGATAGTCGTGGATCTTGGAGTCGCCGCGATTGAGCTTATGAATGGAGCCGCGGAGCTGTCGGATTTGAACGGCGGAACCCGAAGCATAGATTCGCTCGAGCGCTGACGAGGCATCAAAGGCGGTGTGTTTATTGATGATGTTGGGTAGGACAGCTTCAGAGAGGGAGAGAGAGATCCACATGAGGACCATCTGATCGCGTTCGTACCAGGCGTAGTAGGCAGGATTGGGCTGGCCGTCAAGGTGTGTGGGCGGCGCCGGCGATGTGCCATCAACATGTCCCAGGAGGCGAAAGCATCGGAGCAATGGGAGAAGTTGAGTAATCCAAAGGAGGTAATTAGAGGGGGAAAGTTTGACAGTGAGTTGAGGGTTGGAGGGAAGAGACATGGTAGGGGATTGAGAAGATGTGGAAGAGGCAATGGTGGTGGAGGAAGCAGAGGAATCAGTAGACATGGCAGCAATATGTCAAAGGAAGAAGAAGGGGAGAAAAAAAAAACAGACTCGTTTGAGTTTAATGGGCTCTGATACCATGTAAATGCTGCAATGCTTGAGTTGGTCTTATTGATCATTCTACTTATAGTACAAAGGAATAACAGAGAGTGCTGGTTTACAGGAGGGAAAGCAACGGTAGTGAGCTGAAGTTCAGGAACAGAATAGAGAGAAGTGGGGAATGGAGACGTGGGCTAACAACCCACTGCTGTATCCGTTATCACTAACCCCCCATCCATAAGAAACAAAATCGGTGTTTCCAAAAATTGTTTACTACCAGAGAACACGTATGCACAAATTGGGAGAGAGAGCCTGATTGTAGGGGGAAACCCTTGCATAGTTTAAGCAAGTTTTAATTAGGGATGGCAACCAAACCCGAACCCACGGGTACCCACCCGACCCAACTCGGTCAACGCGGGTAATATTCGTGTTGACGGGTTTTGGGTCGGGTTTGGGTTTAAACCCGTTTACTATTTACCGGGTTGGGTTGGGTTTGGGTAAACCCGACCCATGGGTACCCGCCCACACATATAATTAATTTTCTCGGTATATTTAATATTTTAAACAACTAATCTTATTTATGTTTGTGGAGACATGTCTAATTTTTTCTTTCTAATTGTGTAGAATGAAGTTTGTGTTATCGTGTGGAGAATGAAGAAACTTAATTGAAAGGAAGAAGCCTTCAATTAATATGTTATTTATGGATAATTTATGATTTACTTTAATTTTCTTGAGTTTTCTAGATTGGTGTTGAACAATTTGTATAGTTAATTTGTGATTTGCTTGAATTTTCTAGAATGATGTTTTAAATATGGATAATTTGTATTGAGAGATTGATATTTGACTTTAATTTTGATAGGAACATGTTATTGTAAATTTTTTACGACAAAAACCCGTGGGTACCCATGAACCCGCGGATACCCAGCGGGTTGGGTTGGGTTTGGGTTTTTCAAACCCAGTGGGTTTTACCCCGGGTTTTTTTCACGGATAAACCCATGGGTTTGGGTTTGGCAAAACCCGACCCAACCCGACCCATTGTCATCCCTAGTTTTAATGTAGCAAATGATATGCTGGCAGATGATGATGAGGCAGGCAACTAACACCGATTTTCACACTTGGGTGCTTGTATTTTCATCGTTTCTTTGCATTTAGATAAGCGTCACATAAGCACTCTCAATCAAATGAAAACTATGTTTGAGATGATAAACTATGATAGAAAAAGATGATCAACTGTGAATTTTTTTAAATTTTGCGATTGCTAAATATGATATTAGATGATTAGCAGACTGCGTGTTATTTTGACATGAGTAAAAATTGGGTAATATCTAGTCGTCCATGTGTGGACCAAGTGAATAGTAACAAATGAATTAAACTGTACGACCAATTTCTATATGTTCATCTCACAAACCAGTTTGAGATCACACATAATTCTAGTAAAATCATCTCTCACAATCATCATATACTACATTATAAGTTAACTTTTATCTTTTGACGAACCCTTAGTTATTATCCCCTGCCTCGTTTAGTGATACTGTTTTAGTTCAATCAATAACTATCACCGTTACGAGTGAAATTGATTTACATTATAATGGTTTGCTTTACTATGCAAACAAGCAGTGGTTGATGAATGTGGTTAAGAAGAAGTCAGTTTTGTCTGCGATTGAGTTGGGATTGTTAAGATTACATTCACCTTGTCAATCTTTATCAAAAAGTCTACAGCTTCTACCTCATACCCTCGCTTACTCCCATAATCACATTCCAAGCTACAACATTTGGGTTAGATAGCTGGAAGATCAACTTAAAAGCATCCTCAAGCTTTCCCAAAATGACAGTAATGGGTGCCCTCCTGGTCATGCTCCATCCCACTTTTTTGGACTAAAAATGACGAAAAATTTGTGATTTGCAATCTACTGTATACTATAGTCACTGCAAAAACTGCAATAGTTTTTCGAGATGTTTGATTCAACAAGCTTAGCTAATAAATGTTTCGACAATTAGCGGGAGAGAAAACGAAGAAACACTATCGAAAGGTCACAAATGTTTAAAACAGTTCTAAAGACCATCAAATGCACGTTTGAGTGAATATGGAACAAATCTATATCCAATTAGCTAAAGAGATATCATTTTGGTGTAAAACTTGCAAGGAAATGAAGTATAAAAATAGCATAATTTAGGTATCATAAAATATCCATTCTTCAAATATTCAGGAATTATCATTTGCTTGAAGTAATGAAGTTGAAGAGAAGTCTTACGGCCATCAGAAATGGAAAATGAAACTTTTCTTGGGTTTGGACAGTTTGGCCGCTCCCAGGGCTTAAAACCCTCTAGCCATCTATGTGGGCCGTCCCGGTCTGTTGGGCTTGCCAAACGGTTTCTAATATATGGTTCTAGTCAAGATGTCTGGTCCACGTTCATTGGTCCTTGGCCCGAAAATAACGAAGAACTATCCAAAAATGAATCAAATGCAGAAAAAAATGCAACGCTGTGAAAAAAAACTGGAGTAGGACTGGCTATTTGGTCCCGGACTGTTTGGTTTTACCCGACAGCAAACAATCCAATTTATTTGGTCCAAAAATGAAATCGGACCGTATAATCTCGACTGGGACCGAACTGGGATCGGATAGCAAACAATCCAATCTCATATTCGGGCTTAGATTTGAGGTAAAAACCGGATAAGAGATCGCCAACACCTAAAATCAAGATCAAATTGGGACCAGACCGGGTCAAGACCGGACCGAATCAAGACCGGACTGT